ATTTATTAAAATTTATTAAATATTTTATATTTGTAAATTCTTTTAACATGGACAATATTTATATGCAGTTATTAACAACTTATAAGATTTAATTATTTGAGCAATACAAAAACAATAGTGACATGTATAAAATATAAATCTAATACTATCTACATAGAGACTTGTTGTTTAAATTGTAATTTTGTCTTTTCTTTATTTGCATAACAAGCAGAAATATGTATGTTTATTTTTTAAGTATTTTTTATTTATAATCAATATTTGTTTGAGATGTTGAACGACTATGTAAATTTAACTCAAAAAGTCAAAGTATATATTTTTTTTCTATTGTCTTTTTGTAACTATTACGATTTGTTTTTTTAGTGGAACAGCAAAGAGAAATGTGTAGGGATTTATTTTCAGTTATGTTTAAATTATTTTAGATATATACTTTAATTTATTATAGATTACATCACTGATTATTTTTGTTTTATATGTATATTTTTTTATAACTTATTTAGTAAAACGTGTTGGGCAATTAGAAGATAAGGCAGGTATATAATGTTCAACCTATTTAAATTTTAAAAAAAAGTTATCTACAATTTTCTTAATACGGAGGTCACTTTTATCATTTTTTAAAAAATTTTATTTAGGGTTTTTGGTTTTTGTTAATATAATTTTGTTAATATAATATAATATTGATACTGTTATATATATATATATATATATATATATATATATATATATATATATATATATATATATATATATATATATATATTTTATATATATATATATATATATATATATATATATATATATATATATATATATATATATATATATATATATATCAGGGAATTTCTTGTTCCGGAATTCCTGATATTTTTCTCAAATTATAGTTTTTCCGGATATCCAAAATGTTTTCTCGTATATTCAAGATTATATAATGTTTGTTGTAATGTATATAAATTTTTTGTTTTAAGTTATCAGCTATAAAAAAATGTCAAAAGTTTCTATAAAAATTATGAAACCTACCAGCTGAAAGCTTAATTAGGAGAATAGTAAGTAACTTAAAAAAAACTTATAAAAAATAATAGTAAGAATAGTAAACATTTCAGATTTTTCTGGATATTTTACATAAACTATATTTTCTGGATTTTTAAAAAATGACCTGGAAAATCACTGATATATATATATACATATATATCAGGATGTTACCTAGCCCAAGGGCACCACGTATTCCCAAAAGTTCCCAAAAATCAATGACCTTTTTTTTGTTAGATTTTTTTTAAGCGTTTCTGGGACAATTTGTATAAAATTCCTTTTCTATTTATTTTTTTGTATATATATGTTTGTGTGTGTGTGTGTGTGTGTAAAAATTCGAAAAAGAAGAATCAGGGGATTTGATCGTTAAAAGTGGCTGGCTACCCTGAATAATTTAAATGTCATAGTTGTATTAAATTGAACTCAATAACTTTTCTTTGAACTTTTCAAGAAATGTTAAATAAATTTATTTGCAATTTCATATTTAAATAAATTTCAATCAATGCTAATTATATTTGTTGTTTGCTTATAACTAATTGCATTGTTTAATTGCGCTAACTAATCCACTACCACTACCAGAACCTGTGCCAACTAATGCACTGGCTTCAGGTAAGAATGATTTATTGTAAAAAAAATTTTTAATATATATATTTATTAAAATATAAGTTTCAATATAAAAGTGTTCAAATGAAATTGTTTAAGTTTTTGATCAATATAGATTGTAAAGAGTTTTCATATTCTCCAAAATATAGATTTTTTACTTTGAAATAAATTCCACATCTATTTTTCAGCTTCATTGTCCGCTACAACCGGTAAAAGCATCTTTATATTAATAATATATTTCATACATAGTTTTAATTAGTCTTTATATAAATTTTAACATATGTTATAATTACTTCTTTTTTTTTTAGATACCTCGTACAAAGCTTACAGGGTGTATCGGAGACGTAATCGTGGGCCCACTAGCCCCAATTTATATAGGAGGTGGGCTGAAAATGGGAGTGCAGACGACCCCTCCTTCGTTTGGCAGGGTTATGGAAGGGGTAGGGGGAAGTGGGGGGGGGCAATAAACACTTTAACTTTAATTATAAATAGTTTTTGTATTGTATATTTGTATTGTATTTTTTTGTAATTTCTATTGTTTGAGTTTTTGCTTTTTTTGTTATACAGAAATATAAATAACATATTTGACAGTGGTGATAAAACTGAAACAGCTAGAAGTATTAGAATTTCCAAATTCACACCTTCTTCTAATAAGACAATAGAGAAGTTCCACAACCACGGTATAACATTAAAAAGCACTTTAAGGAGCAGGAAGAACAATTTTGGGGAGAAAGGGCAAAGGTTCGACACATACTATTATGTTTCTATTATGGATGTTGATGTATTGGTAGAGGCTGTCTATCAGAAAACTAAAGATGAGAACGGCACAAGCAAGATTCCTCTCTTGATAAGAGAGATGATAACAAAACAACATGCGACTAAAAACATGGGTTGGGTCAAATCTAACAGAAGAGTTGTAATTCCCAGGAAAATGTTTACAAGTCCACCAGTATATTGTTCACAAAGTTCAGCTTTGCTTATAGCTAAACATGCCACTGAAAAGTCCAATGAACTACCTTTTGCATTACGACATGTATATAAAAAACTACGTGATTATGATTGTAGAATCAGAGAAAACGGTAGTTTTAGGTCTAACCTTCAACTCATAAAGAATATAGTATCTCCCATTTATATCTTTCATATCATAATTTCATTCATATCTTTCATATATTGATTGGTCTTTGAATAACCCTAGCATAAACTCTACTTGTGCATCCTACTTCAGTCCTACCATCGTAACCTCGGAGAACATTTTAGAAGTAATCTCGAAGCTCGTATAGGGTTTATATTTAAAACTGTGCGTTTTTCAAATAGTGAATTAATTCCTTCAATTATCAAATTGCTTTTATCTGTTAAAAACTATGGTAGTGATTTCTATGAGTTTATAACACACTACATGGAAAATAATGACTTAGGATGGGAAACAACTTTATTGAGGATGTTGATTTATGGGAAAGCTCGCAATTGCTTCATATATCAAGGTATATCAGTTACTATACAGGAATGGAAGATCAATAGAGCTAATAAAACTGAATTACTGGTTTGCTCCATGATTTATTGTAATACAATTGCAAGTAATAAACACACTAATACAGACGGCTCCAATAGAGACGCTATGGACGAAATTGCACCGATAATAGCACTATACCTTAAAATGATCAAAGAGAACACTTCTGTCCATAGCATCCTATTTGGTCCTATCAAAGGGGAAAAAGGGCTATTATACGGGAAAGGATCCAGTGAAAGACATGATAGTGGAGTTTTAGTAACACGCAGTTTCAATCTACTTTATGCCATTAATGAATACACAGGACAAGTCATAGGTGATCATATTTACTCACAATTCTATACTGGTCCCATCTATTGGATAATTATACCCATAAAAGCTGATTTAAGCACAGACTTTGATGTTCTAAATTTATTAAGTATAGTAGGGCATTTTTCTATAAAGAACTGGGTAAGAATGAAATTAGAGGGTAGAGGTAATGATGAAAATGAATGCCCAATACCTGTAAGATATGTTGATTATGCAAGGTAGGAGAGCTCTAAAACTTTATTAGATTCTGCATTATCCAACAATATAGAATCTGAGTATAATATACTGGTCATATTTGCTTATTTAGATACACTACTAATAACGCAAGAAATGTCATGGACTTTTAAGAAAGAGCCTTGGTCGTTTACTAACCACTCTGCTAGGTTTGAGACTTTTGAAATAGAAGTGGAAAATACCTTAGAAGGTTTAGAATGCGATAAATATGACTATGATACTGATAGTTTCAGAATAAATTCAAATATTATAACTACAGAAGGAAGTTGTGAGATTGGAAATTTGTTGGCTTAGTTTACAGCAAGAGTGTTGATTTTGGTAGCCAAGAGGTGTACTATGCCATGTGACTTGGCTTTGTTGGGAGTAAGATTGTTGTCCACGCCAGTTAAGTGGTGAATTATTATGATTAAATACATAAATTAAATCTGTTTGTAGTTAGTGTAGTCATATATAGTGTTAAAAATTGTTGAAAGTGTTTATAAGAAATGTTGAAAGATATAGTTTTTCATTATCTATAATAATTTTTTAATTTTTATAGTTTTAAGTAACTTTTATTAAACAGATATTATACCTCATAAAATAAATTTTATTATGTTACTTTTTAAGTAACTTAGTTTAAAAGATATATACTTATATATATATATATATATATATATATATATATATATATATATATATATATTATATATATATATATATATATATATATATATATATATATATGATGATAGGGAGTCAAACTCCTACTATTTTTAGGCCTCCGTAGCATTTTCCCGGCCATAAATTTCCCTCCTACCCAATGGGATAGCTTAAAATAGACCACGTGACCAATGACGTCATGATCATGTGATTCGAGTAACCAATGGTATTGCTTAAAAAGGCAAAGTCTGATAGGTTGAAAGTGGTTCTGCTATAAAAAAAATCTTTCCGGCATTGTTTTTTTTGGTAGCATTGTTTAAGTGAACCAATGGGGAATTGGGAATGGGGTTTCAACGTCATAGCATGTGGTGCGCATGCGCAACCCCCAAGAGGGGTTGCGCGGCATGCGCCTTCTGATCTTATTGTTTAAAAGATAAGATTAAAACAGATTAAAAAAAAAATGTACTGCGCAAGCTTAGCGCGTCAAAGCTAGGTTAAAAATAAAAAATAAATAATCCTTCTATTTAAATTAAATTTTTTTATTTTAATCTTTTTATTTTAATAAAGTTAATACGCGTAACGCATTAAATAAATATAAAGAGAAAAAAAAAAATGTTTTTTTAATATAATCATTTTTGCAAAAAAAAAAAAGACGAATAAAAAAAAAATGAATCAACAAAACAACAAACCTATCGCTGTAATTATATTATTTTATATTATATTTTTTTTATTTATCTTATATTATATTATATTTATTTTTTTGTTTTTTAGATTGTAGAACCTTATAATCCTGAAGACGACCTCCCTGAAGAGGAGAGGCGAAAAATACAAGAACGAAGAGAAGTTAGAGAAAGAATACAAAATTTGTTTTTTAGACCCATTGCTCCACCACCAGAAGCAGTAATTATAGTTGTTGTTTTTTTTTATATTTATATTTTTTTTGTTTATATTATTTTTTTATTTATATAATATTTTTTTTTAGATTGTAGAAGATGAAGATGACGATGATGATGATGATGATGATGATGATGAGGATGAAGTACCAGCAAATAATTATGAAAGGAATATACCTGTAGTTTGTAATAATTTAATATTTATTTATTTTGTTTTATTTGTTATTTATTTAGTTATATTATATTGTATAGCAAAATTATAAATAATTTTTTTTTGTAGTACCATCAATCGAATCAGTTTGCTTAGGCTGCTGCCTGTGCTTTGCTCCGCTTCGACCACTAAGACCTTGCTGTCATCATCGTTGTGGATCGCTAGGAGCGTGCACAGGTTGTTGCATATGCACAACAAATACAATTGAGGCGATAAGAGAAGCTATGCAGGAAAAAATAGCTTTTAAAAGACAATATTGGGCTAATCACCCAATGCAATATCAAGATTGAGGTTTTTTTTTATTTTTTTATATTATTGTATATAACTTTGTAAAATAATTTTTTTTATATATATTTTTTTAAATATTGTATATAGTTTATTTTTTGATATTAATTTTTTTGTAATAAATTGAAAAAAAAAAAATATTTTATTTATTTTTAAAAAATAATACAAAATGAGTTTAACAAAGTTAGAGATTAATAAAAATATAGATTCTTTAATTGATTACGGAGAACAATTAAAAAAACGTATAGAAGAGAAATCGTACAATTGTTTATTATTAGATAGCATTCGCAAAGATAAGAAAGGATTTAATGTTGATAATATAAAAAAAGATTATTCCTATGATTCGGTAGAAGAAAAAGAGTTTATTAATAAAAATGGCTTATTTTTACAACAAGTTTGTTTTTTAATGAACAATTTAGCGTGTAAATATATTGAAGATCCTGAAGATATATATCCAGAAGATAGCGAAATACTAGAAACACTTATTAGGCAATCGATACAAGTTTTACAAAACTTGTATTGTTATTTTATTATTATAAACTATTTTGAACAAAAAGAATACGTTCGCGTTAAATTAATTAAGGAAATGATAAAGAAATTAGCATATCTTATTATTATAGAACAGTCTTCGTTTTATTTGAATAAAGATAAAGAACATTGCTGTGATAAAATACAAAATGTTTTTTATGCAGTGAAACAATATTTATTGTAAAATAAAAAATAAAAATAATACAAATATAATATTTTTTTTATTAATATTTTCCTTGGGTTGGTATCTTGTTTTCTTGGCATGCTTCTTCATAACTAGGCGGAGCTTCATTCAAAATCCTTTCAGTAGTAGTAGGTATTATACTTTTATAAAAACAAGCTTTTTTCTCATCGTAATGCAAGTCTTGATATTTTGCATATAAATCTTTTCTACCAATTAAATTTAAACAATACTTAAAGTAACCCAATTTCTCTTCCATTGTAGTATATTCTATTCCATCAATTTTTAGAGAATACATTCTTATATAGTTTATTAAATCTAAAGCATTGTTTATTTTTTCTGCGGAACCATACGGAATTGCCAAACAATATTTTAACGATCTAACATTAGCATAGACTAATTCATTTGATAACAAAATTAAGTCTTCCATTTTTTTTTAATTACCTAAAAAAAAATAAAAAAATGTTTATAGCTAATATAACACATTTTATTAAAGTAAAAAAAAAAAAATTATTTATGAAACATTAAAAAAAAAAAAAACAATTAAAATTCAATTATTTTTTTATTAATATAAAAAAAAATACATCAAGTAAAATAAACTTGAATCCAAAGTTTGTCATTGATTATATAATTTTTGAGTTGATCGTGTTTAATAAAGTTATCATAACCGCACGTAATATTTGCTTCATAAACAGGTCTATCAAAACTTTCGATATGTCGCGATGTTGGAAAGCTTAGCATCATTTCATGATGATTATTTTTGATAAAAAAATAAACATGATTCTTCATTGGCCAGGTTAACATGTGATCATGTTCAGATTTTAAAATCTGAACATAAATAGCCAAGGTTTCGGGTTTTTGATACCCAAATATTTTCACGCGAAAACAATAACCTTCTTCTGTAAAACAGGGTTTACTATAATACGGTTCATTCGATTGCAATCGTAGTGTCATATTATCTAAACAAATAAAAAGTTTCTTTCGCGTAGGTACATCATAAGGTTTATCACATTCATTTTTCTTTTGTTCTAATTCGTTCTTAAACGATCCCACAATGTTTTTTAATTTATCTTTATAGCTAGAAAAAAGTACATCAGGTTGTTTGCAAACTATTTGTAAAATATTCATTCTTGTTTCCAAATGTTCAATTTTTTTATCCACCTTTGAACCTTCTTTTATTGTTAAATTGAGTGCTGTGTTTACATAATTCATACTTTCTTGTATCGACTGAAAATTTTTCATTTTACTATCCACATGATTCTCTATTTTCTTTATATCCTCTTCTAACTTTGATATCTTTTGAGTAGAACACGACGCATAATGTTCATTAAAAAGGATCTTTGTACCAAAAGATTCATTGCATAATGCACATTTTCGATGAGGATGAGGACCACCGCAATCACATTCAGAAAAGACTTCTTCCATTTCATTATCATTAATCATAATAAAATTTTTATTTGTTTTTCTTTCTTCTTCTTGAATAAACAATGCACTGCAATGCACTTGATGCTTTAATAGTTCATATATTGTGAAGTCCTTTTCACAAAAACAACAACTTTGTAAGTTGCTTGCCATTTTTTTTTAATTTTTAATCTAAAAAATATAAAAAAATATAATAAGATAAAGAACATATTTTTTTTTTTTTTTTAAAAAAAAAATTAATTAAAAAAAATAAAAAAAAAACACAGCATTTTTATAATCTACTTTTTATTTTTATTTTTACTCAGTTACAATAATAATTACAATTTCCTCTACATATTTGTATAATTTCAATTCGTTTTACTTTTTGTTTTTTCATACGTCTTGTTCTTTTTTTCTTTTTTGCATTATATTCTGAATCTGATTCTGATTCGCTTCTATTCATAGTTATGTCTTCATCTTCTACTTGAGGTGGTGACATTTTTAAATTTTTATAAATTGGCTAGAAAGAAGTATTGAAGGAGGTAAAAACAAATTACTTTCAACAAATTCACATTGATCTATCATCCATTGTAAAAGATTAGAATAAATCAAAAAAAAGGGTTTCAATTCTGTTAAGCGAATGTTAAGTGTATACACATAATCTACTAACACATCTAAAAGTATATTAAACGTAGCTAATAAATCCTGTTGCATTTTAATATAATAAGTATTTTTATTTTTTATATATGTTTCAAAACAATGACAATAAAAATAATCAAAACGTCTAACATAGATTTCTTGTAAATATAAATGACTAAAATAGGGTGCAATATTTTTAATTGTTTCATTAGCCATATCCATTGTTTTTGTAATTGCTAAATTTCTTTTAACTATTTCAAATAAAGTTGGTATTTTAATTAATAGTTTTTGATGAAGGTTGATTACTTTTTTTTGTTGTTTGAATAAATCTGTTACATCTGGATAGATCTTGCTAAATTCTTTATAAAATTCTGAATGTCGCGTAAATACCATGTATATTCCGTCAAGTAAATACCATGTTCTATCCATTTTTTTATTAATAATCTAAAAAAAGTAAAAAAAAAAAGTTAAAAAATTGTCAAATAGAATATAAATCTTTTCAATAAAAAACAAAGACAAAGAAAATAAAAAACAATAGTTAAAATAATTTTTAACAAAATATATTTAGATATTCTCCCAAAAATAGGCTGAAATGTTCGATTAATAATTCAGCATTTTCTACATTTATTTTTTTTTTTTCTAAATGATCGATAAAAATAAAAATGTCCATAAAAATGTCTCTATTTTTTTTCAAAATAAAAGTTTAATATCTTTAATTTCTTTATGTTTTGTTTGCAGTGTTCGCAATGTTGCTCGGCTAAACTATTTAAAGAATTCAAGAAGTCATCTTCGATATTTAAAGCTAATGCCAAATGTTTCCATGTTATAGAATCATATTTAAATAAAAACCAATTTTTAATTTTACTTTGCGAATACCTTTCCATCATTTTTGTTTCAGCTTCAATGTCCATTAACGCTTCTAATTCAGAATTCATTTTTTATATATTGGCTTGAAAAAAAGTTAAAAAAAAATTAAAAAAAAGTTAAACTTAAAAAAAGTCAAAAAAAAAGTTAAATTTAATTAAGAATTCAAAAAAAAAATGAAATAAAAAAAAAGTGATATATTTTCATTATTTAAATTTTTTACAAAATTCATTCAAATGATAAACATAAAATTCTTTATCAATAATACTTTCATAATAATCAGAAAAATCTGCAAATGTTTTTGTTTTATTTTCGATTAAAACTTGCTCCACTTTTTCTTTTAAAATTTTTAATTTTTCAACTAATAACAAATGTCCTTCAGGATGCATTTGAAAAAAATATCTTACTAGTCGATACATTTTATCTTCCACTTTAGGTTCTTCTTGATTAATAATACCAATTTTATTTTGTAAATCCAAATGTTCTGCGATTTCTTTCCAATATTCATGCAAATAATGTGCTAAATAAAATTTCATGTCCTTTTCTATATTATCCATTTTTTTTTAATTAAAATCTAAAGAGATAAATTATAAATTTTTTAAAAGAACAAATATAACAACAACAAAAAAAATTATTTTTCTATATTTTTTTTTTTTTTTGAAGAAAAAAATAAAATTAAAAAAAAAAACAATATACAACAACTTTATTTTTATTCGTCAAATTTGTTACAAAAATCATGAAATAATTCAATAAGTTTTTCAGATATTTTTATTTCATCTTGATTTAAATGTATTTTAAAAAAATCATTATTAAGTCTTTCTTTTTCATTCAACATTATAGTTAAAATATGATCTTTAAATTTATGTGTTTGTCCAGGGTTTATTTTAAAAAATTGCGAAACTACAGAATGCATTCTTTCTTTATCGTTAGTAAAATAACAGTCTAAAATTAACTTGTCAAAATGTTTATATCTAAATTCATGAGCTAACCATCTCCAATATTTGCAATATTCTTCTTCGCATAACATTGATTTCATTGCTTCTTCCATTTTTTTTAAATAGTTTATAAATAATTAGTTAAATATGTTAATAATCTAGAAAAAGAATAATTCATTTTTTATAAATAATTAAAATATTTGTAAAAAACTTTATAAAAAACAAAAAAACATTTTTTTTTACATAAAAAAAAATGGCTAGAACACGTAGAATTGTTAGACATGGAGTAAAAGCAATGTCAAAAACCATAGCAACACAAACAGATTTGCGTCAATTACCAGCTCATTGTAAAGAAGTATTGTATTGTAAAAAAGAGATTAATAAAAAATATAAAAACAATGCATTGAATAGACGATTAGGACGAGTTGGAAAAAAAATTACACGATGGAAAGTAACATATTAAAAAAAATTTTTTTACACAA